AATCACAGCCCGATACGTCATATGACATAACCGATAACGCAACAAAGATATACACTGTGCAACCTACTCGCGCCGCTTACCCAACATGGCGGGATGGCCAGAGAGACAGTGGGAGGTTTGAATCCAAAAATGGCGCAGCGCGAGATGACCTCCAGCCGCGTAAAAGAGTACACGCACCGCGTAAAGTGAGCATCCCGGGTCTGGCAAGGTACCGCATAAACGTGGAAACGCATAAAGCGGGGTAATACTGTATGTGTATATATATATATATATATATATATATATATATATATATATATATATATATATATATATATATATATATATATATATATATATGCAAGTAAATCACTGTAGGTGCACGTGATCTAGGTATATGCTGAAAGCCACAACGAAAAAAAGAAAACACGAAGTTCCCAAGCGATTTCGTGTAATTCACATCTTCAGGGGTGAGTACAGACTTAGGAAGAAATACATAACAAGGCTTATATATACAGTGGAGGAGGTTGAGATCAAGTCCATAATGGTCCGGTCACTAGGTAGTGACCCTACTAATCTTCAAAAGCACCACAGCAGTCGGTAGTCAGGTCAGAGGGTAAGATGACCCAACCTTGTCACCTGGTTACAAATCTTCTTAATTATGAAATTATCCAGTTTGTACATACCATTACGTGTACTCAAATTCATGTTGACAGATTCGGTATGTTTAATGAGACTGGATTCTATAATGTTCCTACTGTCAATTGAATTACAAGGTAATATTGAGGAGGCATTATCCCAGTCAATGCAATGCTTATTATCCCTCAAATGTACAAACAGAGCATTGGATTCCTGGCCTGTCCTAACACTATATTTGTTGTTTAAGTCTATTTACAAGATCTTTACCTGTCTGGCCTAAGTAAAACATATTACATTCCTTGCAAGGAACCTTATAAATGCAGCCGCCTGTATTGTTGGGGGAGTTCTTGATTAATATTTGTTTAACAGTGCATGAGTTTTTAAATGCCACATTGATGTTTCAGGTTTTTAGTTATAAAGGAATTTGAGAGAAATTTTTGTGAAATGGTAATACTAAGAGATTCTTATGGTCATGGGTGGGCTTGGGATCAGTTCTATAAAAAGATTTCTGAGTAATGTTCAGGCATTTGTCTATAAAAGATCTGGGGTACTTACGGATCAAGCTAATATTGTAGATCTATTTATATTCCTCCTCAATGAATTCCGGGCTGCAAATTCTCAAAGCACGTAAAAACATGAATGAAAATACTGACTATTTGACTCTATTATGGTGGGCAGAATATATATATATATATATATATATATATATATATATATATATATATATATATATATATATATATATATATATATATATATATATATATATATATATATATATATATATATATATATAGTCAACCTCACTTTATGTCCTGCTTATTCGCTGCTTTCCACGCTACGCTGTGCCAGAACCTCCAGGATGCTCATTCCGCCGTGGTGTACTCTTTAATTGGGTGAAGTATAATTTGCTTGTTTAGCTCAAAATTCATACAAATTATCCCAGAATATAATTTACATTGCTGGAATTCTTACAATATGATGATCGTTTTGAATATAAACATCATGGATTTTGCATTAGACATACAAATTTTAGATCTTATGTAATAATTTGGTTTACACAAAGCAAGTATTTTATCTTTTGTGCAAAATATATGAAGTTTACATTCAAAATATTCCCTGACCTGCAAGGAATCCAGAAATGTCAATTATATTATCCTAACTTTAGTCTGAGGTATTATTTATTACTAAACGTTAAAATCTAGTGTTTCACCCAATCATTTCTCAGAGAGGTAGGGGCCAGTGAGCTGGGAAGAGGGGGGGGGGGATTTGAGTCCATTATTTGAATGGACATTAACCTGGCGACTGTATTTCTCTTAAATATTAATTGTGTGAGCATACCATCATAAAATTTAGATGTTATTTTTACTACAACATAGGTATTGTGTCGGAAAAAGTGGAGTTTGGGGGTCGGGCCAGTCTCTATTGGAATTAATCCCATATGTTCTGTTGTTCACTTTACGCGGTTTTCACTTTGGGTTCAATTGACCGCGTAAATCGGGGTACTACTGTATATATATATGATATATACATATATATATATATAATATATATATATATATATATATATATATATATATATATATATATATATATATATATATATATATATATATATATATATATAGCAGAAGGTAATGCAATCTTTAAGATATACAGTAGAAGTCCAAAAATCCGGACTGCTTGGGGATTGGGTCTTTTCGGATTTTCCGGATTCTCAGGCAGTTCTTTTAAAATTCAAATTTAAGGAGGAATAAAGAAGAGATGAACAGGTACATTTTGATAGTTTATTCATAAGCAAATATAACATGCTTCATTTATCAAAATGAGCAGTTTTAAAGAAAAAGATGTGAATTCTAGAATTTTATTCTTTGCCTTTTTATATCATAAATTGTAGACTTTCCAATGTCGTATGTTTCCATTAGAACAGTATTGCTCACACCACGTTCTAGTTTCTTAAATATTTCAAGTTTGTCACTCAATTTCAACGTGTTCTTCTTTCTCTTCACACAACGAAGTTTATCTACTTTAGGAGCCATTATTATGGGCTTGTACAGTACTCTGTAAATGGAAAGAGTAGGACTGAAAATTACATATGTTGTCACAGTTTGATTGCTCGTTTTAAAGTGGCTACCACGTGGTCGCTTGTTGTCACTGTGCAGCTGTGGCGCTCGCACATACACACAAAAGCCCCTAAAAAAAAAAAAAAAAATTTCGAAAAGTCCGGATTCTCGGGTGGTCCGGATTTCTGGCATCCGGATTTTTGGAGTTTTACTGTAAATAACTACAGTACAGTACATTATCATTTTGTATGTATTGAATTGAAATAAAGTAAACTACCTGTACTGTATTAATACATAATAGATGATTAATTGAACATTTACAGTACTAGCACAGTATCTTAATTCCTTTTGTTAATTTGATAATTTGAAGGGATGGCAGTGGCGGTGTGATGAGCAATGTTACTACCCTAGTTTGTCCAGGTCTAAGATCTATACATCTCAGATATTTCTATTACTGCACAGTATTTTCAATGTGACATATGCATTAAGTCAAATACTCTATACATATGTTGCGTTATAATCCGAAGAATCCCCGTATATAAAGACATGCTGTTAAGTAAAATTAAGTTACATTAATTTAAAAGTGATACTAGCCGATTAGCTCGTAGTATTCATACAGGAAGAGATGCCATATGTCAATGCAGGATTGAGTGGCAGGGCATACTGTTGCTACTCGCTTGGTTTTGATAATGCTAAATTTATATTTGTTGGTCATACAATACTTTAATTTATCATCATGTTGGAACACAAAGTAATAATGTACCCTATAAGCTGTAGTTACTTACTGGCTTTGTATCTTTATATACTGTAGTTCATTACTGTACAGGTCTGCCTAGCGCCATGCTCTACACCCCTGAATCTTTGAAACCCCTAATTTTGGTTAGTGTGGATAGTCAAAGCCACGGATGTTGAGGACCATCTGCATTGTACTTGAATTTTTACCTAGCATAACAATTTTAGAACAGAATCAACAGCAAGTACAAAGACAATGGTATAAGAAGAAGTACTGTACAGTAATTCTTTTTGTAATGATACCAAAATTATTTTGTAGTGTAAATTTAGCTTAATAAACTTTGGACAAGTTATGAGAACCAAAACATCATGTATAAATCTGTAACAAACAGTAAAACACATTGCTGTTTGATCTTCAGAGCATAAAATAATCTGAAACTTGTAAACTGAAGTGCCAAGGGAAATCTTGCATTTTTTTTTGAGCTTTGAGTTGAGGTTTTAAATTTTGTAATTACAATATCTTAAAAAAAAGAAAGAAAAGAATATACAGAACTATTGATGTGTAAATTTAATTATATACCCACAGTTCTACCTAAATATTGCAATGCGTGTATTAGGTGTGAGATTCAAGAATTGTTTTTCCTGATATTAAGATTTTTTAAGATTTTAATACATGACATTTTTACACAGTTTATTGATTTTTTAATAATTGTTAGACTGCTATTTTAGATTTGCATAAGTAAGTAAGTCCATATTCTTTTTTATAAAAATCTTCACAATGACATTACACAAGACAACAACCC